CCGGCCGGGGAAGGAAGCAGCTGGGATCCTGGCAGGGAGCTGCACGGAGGGCTCTCAGCACCCCCCCCCCATACCCCTCGTCAGTTGGTGGAAGCGCTCCTGGTGAGGATGCACACCACCGACAGAAGGAGGGTAGTGTAAATATCAGCCACCGCAGTAACAGAGATCGACTTAGGGTGTAGCGCAGACATGCCCATAAGCCTCAGCATTGCAGTACCTGAGTCTCATTTTCAAAATTAGGGCATCTATTTGGATGCTCAAAAACATCTAGTCACCTATTATCAGTTGAAATCAATGAGTTTTAGGTGCCTTGGTGCTTTTTGAAAATCCCACTAGGCGCCTAAAATACTTTTAAAAATCTGGCCCTAAATCCCCTTTGAACATTTCTGTTGGCTAAAGTCTTTTGATAATAATGATGGATAAACAAGGAGACCTGCTGGCAAAAAATCACACAGTAGATCATGTTTAAAATGATAATGCTCTTCTAGAGTTATCTCAAATACAAGCCAAATTCAACACTGACTTATACCCCACTGCCAGGCAGCTCCGTGACTGTCACAACTGAAACCAAGGGGATAGCATTGGGTAAAATAACTGTTTCACTGGACCCTTTGTGTTTTCTAATCAGAAGAGAAGTGAGCAGGTTGTGAAACCTGTGATAAGTAATTGCTTCATTATACAGATCTCATATCAATGTACAACTGTGCTATCTATTAGGGTACACTAATGCAATCATTTATTTTCTTGAGAAAGCATATACCCTGATTATTTACCCTCTAATCACTGTATGCCCTTAGTTTGAAGTGCTCAGTTTTAATAAGATTGTTTGCAGTGTTGATGTAGCCTCATGATTTAGCAAACCAAAGTCTAGATTATTGGCAGGCTTTTGATAAACTGTACGCAGCCAATCAGATGTTGTTTTGCAAATGCGGTTATAGGACTCAAGGCCTGGATTGGTCTGCCCATGTGGATCGAATGGCAGAATGAGGCCACAGTTTCTCCTGGAAGTATTTGACATAACCCCCATTAAAATCACTGAGTACAATACTCACGCAGTGAGGGTATAAGAGACCCACCTCAATAAATACAGAGATATTACTAGTAGGTACCCTATGATTTGCTTACTCTTTCAAAGAACTGGCTTTCACAACTCTAGTGCTCAATTCGCCACGACCTCTGTGTAAGAAACTCACATCAGTTTCAGTGGGGATTCTATACTCAGGAGGGTGAAATTCTGATCCCATTGAAGTCAGTGGGAAAACTCCCATTGACTTCAACCAGATCAGGATTTCACCCAGACAGTTTTTGGATACATGGATTCAAGGTTCTGAGTGTACGGATTCTTGGTGACCTAATTTTTAGAAGTGTGCGAATGTTTCCCTTCACCATTTGCATGTACATAAAAAGTTGTTCTTTCTCAGCCAACTTAATTATGCACCTGAATGTTAAGAAAGTATTAGTTATCCCCAGTCACAGTCTTTATATGTTTGTGTCCTAAAAGCAGGTCTATCAGATGGATGATGATTCCCCCCCCCGTGCTTGAACACTAAATGTTCTTGAATAAACAAGGAGTTTCAAAGGTACCACATGGTTTTGTGATTCTTTTGTTCTCCCGGAATGTACATTACAAAGGTAATGCTTGGTGCATTTACACCTGCCATGCCATATGATAATGGTAGGATTTCACACACAGCTTTAAAAATTTTATATATAAAATCTCTATCTATCGGCTACATCCTGAAATGTTTAGGTCAGATAAATCTCCCCCCATCTGATTTCATAAAAGGTCACCACAAAATCTGCCTGAGTAAGGGCTGCAGGACTAAATATTAATAAAATGAACAGTCTAAGTTCTGCTGTTTTACATAATACATTTCAGTCAATCACGCAAGAACACTATCCAATTAAATACTTGCATGAAATGACTCATCTGTACTTCATAGTCACAGTGAGAGGTCTTATTATTGCAAAAGTAACTAAATGTATGTCTTTCTAAATATAGTTTATATTACTTAGTATGAATGACTGCTTTCCTTAGAGAAGCACTAAATAAATAATACTGATTTTTAAAAAAACTGTTGACAGAAGATATAATCTTACATTCAGAAAGTCTTGCCATCTTATAGCATTAAGTGTATTATTGTAGTTTAGCATAAGACTCAAGAAATCATTATACAAATTCAGTTCTGATTACATTCTACTTGTCTTTAATTTTCACTGTTCGATGTTAACATTAAACATTGTAAATGTATGCAATATTTATATAAAATTAAATAACAATATTGGAAAAATAAATACACTTTATTACATAAATACATAAATCCATACTGCTGAAAAGTTTCAGCTAATACTATACTCTTGTTTCAAAAGTGACCAAAAATATGGTAGTGACACTCCATCTGAACAGATGAAGTATGAACGGCTACCGAATGACGTCTGCAATCAATGTCAGAACTAGAAGCAAGTGAGGTGATACAATAATAAAAATTGGACTCTCCCTACTACCTACTGTAGTAGCGCATGGTAATATGAAAACGAGGGATACATATATATTTATTATATTTTTCAGGAGAGACAAAACTTTGGTTCCTTGTTGAGCCCACAGATTATCATCCAGGTCCTCAAATACAGCTCTGGAATCACTTACGGCAGAGCTTGGGCAAATAACAGATAAGATACTTGACATGAAAAATCAAGACCCTACATAGGAACAATAGTGGCTCAGTTCTGAAAATCTTTCTCCAGCGGGAACTTTGCAAGAGAAAGGACGGTAGGAGCGAGTGACGCTACTACTGAATACTTTGGTCACAAGATTCTCCACTGAAGAGTTAGAGCAAACATTAATTAGCATAAGACTAAGAACACAGTTTACGGCTGCATGCACCCAGTGCTGCAAGATTGATTCTGCACACCTGACCCAGCTCATTGACACCTGGCATCCGTGGGAGGTTTGGCTGGGGAAGGAATGCAGGATGGAGTCCTGTCTATCAGACACTGGGGGGCAGATTCAGCTGTGGTGTAAGTGGGCACAACGCCACTGAAATTGACAGTTACGCCAGAGCTGCGTACAGCCCTATGGTCTGTTCCCGAAGAGACGTGGTGATAATGCCAAATGCTGGGTTACACCAAAAAACAACAGAACAGTCTATCCATCTCCTTTGGGTCTTGCAAACATTCAAGCACATGAACTAGAAGTTAGCAGCAATTTTCAGTACGTAGTTGTGGGACAAAACAACTGCATCGGGTATTGAGTAGTGCTCAGCTCATTCACTGTTAGCACCAACTATCAGTATAAAAGTGATACATTAGCACCTCAAATTAAATATTTCAGATCTGTCCCTTGTAATGATGAAGCACCGTATAAATACTATTCAGCAATGTTATGGCTATCAGATAATTCACTGAGGTATGAAAAAAATATTAGAAATGTTACCAAAAGCATCCACAGAAACTACAGTGACGTTAAACTCCAGCAATGTGACTTTTAAAACCATAGTGTTTAAGGAAGTCAATATATTACAAAAAGGCCTCTTTTTTTTTTATAAAGTGCTTTCAAGTCAAATCACCTTTAAAAAACCTTCAGCTACGTTATAACAAAATATACAATACATTTTGACACGTGTTTGCATGTCATTTTAAAATGGTCACATCAAATGGTTTTCATTTTATTTAGCCAGCATCCCAAGTCCCACACTCACTTCAGTGTAAGAGCACCTGTTAGCAACCAGCCAGGAGCACTAGAATTCCACCTGTCCTCAGGTGGAGAGGGCCTTTTATACAGGAAGTCAGTATTATTCTGTGGAGTTCACCTTGCAGAGCAGACAGATCCCAGGCTGGGCAGGGTAGAGTTTTAAGCTACAGGACGCTATATAATGGTCCAGATCATCCCCTGCATTAGAGCTGAAGCTGTGGGTGGATCACTCCAGTGCAGGAGAATCGTCCCAGTGGCACAGAGCCAGCATAACCACTCCTATTCCACTCCCCTCCCAGAGGTCGGAGAGGAAAGGTGACCTAAAGTAAGGGGGCTTCCCTACTTCCTGTTGATCCCTGGCTGCCATGATAGTCCCACGGGCAGCTAGTGTAATTTAGAGCAGTGGTTGGGGATTGGACCAAGGATCAGAGAAATATGCAAGGGTAGCTTAAAGCCACTTTAAGCATGGCCCCTCATCAGTTGCACTATATGCTCCACAGCTGAGAATAAAGGACATTATATGTATAAACAGACATGTACCTACACCTCTACCCCGATATAACGCTGTCCTTGGGAGCCAAAAAATCTTACCGCGTTATAGGTGAAACTGCGTTATATCGAACTTGCTTTGATCCGCCGGAGAGCGCAGCCCCACCCCCCAGGAGCACTGCTTTACCACGTTATATCCGAATTTGTGTTATATCGGGTCGCGTAACATCAGGGTAGAGGTGTATATAGAAATACATATACATGTATATATGCATTATACTAATGTAGGAATGTGCATGTGTTTTCTGTGTGGGTGTGTATATATTTATAAACTAATATATACACACTTATAAACACACATACTTGCGAATGAGGGCAACTTAGCACCAAAATCCTCCCGTAACTACAATTTTTTTTGCAGAGAAAATGCAACATGTGCACTAAGAAGTGCACAATAAAATATTAACATAAAATATAATCAAAACTTTCATTTAAATTTAAATGTACTGCTTAAAATGCCAGGTTTTAATTTGCATGCAAAGAACTCAGTCATAACCAAGACTCGTAATGCATAGTGCTTGCAATGTAATAAAATGTACAAAGTTGGTTATCTAGCAGAAAGTGCCTTTTAAATTAAAGGAGTTTACCTTGCTAATGTAAGCCCTTCCTGAATGTGTCACGCTGAATATATTGTAAATAATCTTCTTTAAGTGCAGTTTTATGACACAAAATATTAACACCTTGGCTTTAAGCATATTAGATTTGTTGTTATGGAACATCTATAAAAAGAGTCACAAAGAGAAATATGTTATGGTCGTACCGAGCTCCACGGACCAGCATTCCAGGCAGCATCTCTAGGACAGTCCTGCATATTGCACTGCTCACGGTCTGGTGGTTTGTCGAGAATTTCACAGCTCAGATCGGGAAACCTTTCACCATTAGAGCGCTGGCACACCACAAGCCTTGTTCTTGTTCCTGCACCACATGACTTTGTGCACTAGAGAAAGGAAATCAACAGAGAACGGAGTTATAATATTAGTAATTTGCATATGGAGCATTATCTGAGCCAACCCCCATTGAAACCAATGAGAGTCTTTCCACGGACTTCAGAGTCGGGTGAGACAGGCCCCAGAAGAGGGTGTTGGTGTTTTTTTAAATTTTCAGAAGGGACCAGAGATTTTGGGGGCCACTATTTTTGGGTGCTCAGAATAAGACACATTAAATGGGACCAATTTTTAGAAACTGCTAAACACCAGCCCAGTGCTTTTGAAGATGTCTGAAGCTGGACACTAAACTCACTAGAGCAGGTTGACATAATTCAAATGAGTAGCTTTTCTCTCAAAAAATGGCCTTTTTTAAAGAGAGTTTTCAAAATCTGTCGTTGTCTGGAAAAGTTTCTGCGACGTACTTAATTGAAAACTTTATCAGACACTTTACAGAACTGTTTCAGCTCCCAAGAACTCGCTTTTCAGTAAACGAAACATTTTGCTAACCATTGTCAGTATTTTTTTCTTTCATTTTTCAACTCCCCGCCCTGCCCCCCAACTGAAAACCTTGGCTTATGTCTTTAGAGAGACAGGAAAAGGTTCACTTGGCTCTCACCTCTCCCCAGCTGCCATAAGCCCATTGAGGACAAGGGCCAGATTCACATGATCTCTGCTCAACAGGTTTTGCTTTCTCATCACAGTTACTTGCAGTATATCCGTTTTCATCCTGGCACACCACAGCCCGCCGCTGGAATCCCCCAGCGCACGTACTAGAGCACTGCAAAACACAATCACCCACGCTGCCATAACGTCCAGTTATTGCTTAGCTTCCACTGGCTCTCCCGAAGGGCCATGAGAACACTCAGCTCTGGGAGTGCGCTCGTGCAACAGGAAGTGAAACCCCCACCTCTCGCCAAAGGAGCTAGAGTTAATAGACAAATATAAAGTCTATGGCATTAGTATAACTAACCTCCTTTTACCTTTGCAGCATAGGGGCCAACTCCGGGGGTCCTCCGGGGCTGGAGCACCCACAGAAAAAACAACAGTGGGTGCTCAGCACCCATTGGTAGCTCCACCGATCAGCTCCTCCTCCTCCCTCCCAGCGCCTTCCGCCCGCCACAAATCAATTGTTCAGTGGCGTGCAGGAGGCACTGGGAGGGGGAGGGGCGGAGTGAGGGCAGGCACACTTGGGGGAGGAGGGGGAAGAGGTGGGGGCCTGGGGCGGAACGGGGGTCGAACACCCCCAGCGAAATGAGGAAGCTGGCGCCTGTGCTTTGCAGTCTACGTAAATCAAGCAGAAAAGCTGTTACCAACATCAAATCCCCCATGACGCCTTAGGCCCCAACTCAGCGAAGGAATTATGCATGGGCATAACTTTAAGCGCCTGAGCCATTCCACTGACTTCACTCAGATATTTAAAACTCCTCCCACACCTCATCACCTTGCTGAAGCGGGACCTTAGCAATGCACTGTTTCAAATCTGCGTTCACAGGGTGTGTTTTGAAAAAAAAATAAGACAGTCTCAATTGTGGTTGGTCGCTAGCCCTTAGCAAGGAGCAGAGCTGCGCTGCCCCAGGAGAAGACCAGGAACCACATGGGGACTCAAAGGCACCATCTGATCCCTAGTTAGTCCTTGGCCTCAAGGGAAGTACCGTTGCCAGCCCTCTGCCCGGCAGGTTACTTACCCTGCCGTGCCTTCTGGTGCTTTGAAGGAGCAGAGCTAAGGATCCACCCGTATGCATGGGCAAAGGAATAGAAGGCCCATATGGGTAGTGAGTGCAGGGGAGTGAGGTAGTACCTAGTTGCACATCTGTGCAGGGGGAAAATGGAACACAGGGTTCATAGTTTGGCCTGAAGTGAATAAATTGACACTTACAGCACCCCATGGGCCGATTCTCCACTGGTTGCCCCCTGGTATGTGCGCGGGGCCAGCGTTCTGGTTTGGGTTTCTCCCCGGGTGGGGTTTCGGTGGATGCTCCGGGTATGAGAAAGGGTGGATTGGCCTGCCGGAGTCATGGGTGTTCTGACAGGAAGACACAGAGCAATCCTGGTCCGTTGCCGGGAGATCGTCTGGATCGCATTCACTTCTATCGACCACCTGGTCGCTGTAATTCAAGCAGACCACCTGCCGTGTTGCCTTACCTTGGCCGCACGTCACTGAACACTGCATTGACAAGTGGAAAAGAAGACACTCATTTCCAGCCTGGAGAGATGCTTTTTAAAATGAAACCACTTGCCAATAAAAAGAAGTTGAAACATCTCAACTTCCTTGCCCTTCACCGGGATGACAGAGTACATGAGACATATATGAACTAAATTGAAGGAACAGGCCATATAGATTATATTGTGGTAAGAACTGGATTTGCTTACAGAACTCCACTCCAGGGCTTTCCATTGTCCACATGGCGTTACGGAGCACACTTCTGTCGCTGAAGGCTTAGGGAGGTGAAAACAGGCGGCTTCATCGGCCACTGAGCCCTGATCATCACGACAGCTGACATATCTCATCCTCGTACCTTTCCCACATGTCATTGAGCACTAGGAAAGATCAACAAGTAGTTTAGTGAGAAGTCATCTCCTGTCGCGCAACGTCACAGACTTTGGGATAAAAATCAAACCAACGATAACTAAAATGTAACCATTGACCACACACTTACGGGTGTCCAAGATCCAAATCTCCATTGTGTCCTGTGAACGCTGGGCATAGATCTTTTCGTTTCTGGAGCAGCTGGATGGAGAGGACATGCTGCTATTTCACAGTCCTAGCAAACAAACACATGAGAGGAAATGAAAAATATTGGATTATTGATTTGCAGATGCTCCAGGTAAGTAATCTCCCCAATGTAGTTAAGAAAGAAGGAAAAATATACGGTGCCCTACAATCTGTTATTTACAAACTCTTCACTTCAATAGAAGCAGGTTCTGCTCTTAGGTCCTCGTGACAGATCTGCAAAATTTGAAATCAATACATTGTGGGGGGCAGGGGAAGAGGGGAACTGAATTGCATCCAGCTTTTGATTTGCCAATATCCTCAAAACTACCAAACCTCACAATCATAGGTCATCTGCATTTATGATGATGAACTTCCAAAGAAAGGAGTTTTGGGGACAAGAGTAGAGATTGTCACCAAGAAGGCAATAGGCGTTCCAACTCCTAACAGTTTTCAATGGCCATTGGGCACCTAACACCCTTACGCACTACTGAAAAATACCAGCCAAACTAATTTTTTTAATCACATGAAAAAATTGGACCTGGAGCAAATGTACTGAACATAAGTCACGCTGGTTTTGGAAAGAATGAGACAAATTCTTAACCTTGCTCAAATATGTTCCAAATAAGGAACTGTCTGGTCAATGTCTTATGCCTCTTTCAATCAGGCTTTCACAAAGCAGTGTGGGCGAGAAGACGGAGCACTGAACTGGTGGTACTCAGGAGCCATGGGTTCCATTCCTGCATCTGCCACTGGCTTGCTGGGTGACCTTGGGCAAGTCACTTCACCTCCCTATGCCTCAGTTTCCCCAACTGTGATCTAGAAATCTATTCACTGATTGATGTCCAAAAACTGAACCCCCTTGTATTGGTGGATGAAATGCTGAAATCTCTGCCAAACATACCTTGACTGAAACAGAGAGTCCCGAGTGTATTAAATGTAATAAATAATCCAAAATAACTGGAACAGAACATGGAGATGGAATGTGACCTTTACATATTGCCCCTGATGAAAAATGCTTCCGTTTTGAAAACTTTACATAATTTTAGCATATACTGTATTCTGTACCTTTGCAGAACTTTTCCTATCTAATGGCATCCAGATACCATCCACACTGTGACACACAGAGAAGCTGGATTTGGATGTAGGGCTAGACTGTGATTCTATCCTTCTGACCCGGAAGCGTGATAAACTGACGATTGCACAATATCAGGAGTTCTGAGAGCCATCAGTATAATCTGAGCTGCTTCTGGTCTTACCTTCCTTAACATCTTTGGAATTAATGGAAAAGGAAGGAAAGCCTACATCTAAAACTACAAATGGTAGATGTTTCTTCTGTGCAGGATTTATCAACACATGAAAGGTCAGGGTCATGAACCAATCCATGGGATATAAAGCGGGAATAATTGAAGCTAGAGTTACCATACCAAATTTGGTGCATCAAATGTATTTGTAATAATTTCTGAGATCCAGGCTCAGATGAGAAACCTCTTTTCTTTTTTGGTATGAGGAAATAAGGGGAATACAAGCCCTTTCCCACAAATTCTTGAGGTACCCATTCTGTCGCTTCTGGATTGATTACGTCATCTCCCTCTTGATGCACAGTGCTCTCACGAGACTAGTTACTAAAAAGGAACTGGAAGGGAGGCAGAGATTGAAATTGAATGGTGTAACCATCCTCAATACGTGAAGAATCCACTGTCACCCAACCCTCTTGAAAAAAAGACAGATGGGAACCAAAGCGAGGGAGGAAAAGGTATAGATCCTTGTAGATTAGTCCAAGATCCTTGACTGTGGCATCAAATCTGATGCTTTTGCATATGTCCTGATTGTGAGTTTACCAAAGAGGATGACGGACCAGTTGTCCTCTTTTGATATCTCAATCTCATCTAGGATTGGTCAGAAGATCTCTGTTGATAAAAGTATCAGAAAAGTGTTCCTCTATCTGGAGGAAGAAGGATGAGGACTAAATTGCTTCCTTCTAAATTCTAATATGTCTATAAACTCAGTGATCTAATAGTGGATCTTGAGCCTTTCAATGAGCGAAGACACTCATCCATTGTAGTACTAAACAAACTGTCCATCGAATGGCAAATCTTCAATGGTTGCCTGTACTTCCTTAGGCAAACCTGATGCAGACAACTGTGATGCACATTTCACAGTAATAGCTGTAGCCACTGGACAGACACCAGTATCAGCAGTGTCCAGTGCAACCCGCAGTGCGGTTTTAGCAATTAAGTGACCTTCTTCGCAGATTGATCTAAATTCATTTGTAATTTCTACAGGTATCTTGTTCTTAAAATCCAACAGAATGGCCCATTGAAGAGTATCATATTTAGACAGCATGGCTTGATAATTAGCTATCCTAACTTGTAAACACCGAGGAATAAATTTTCCTTCCAAAGAGGTCTAGTCTCCTTGATTCTCTTTCTTTGGGCGTTGACTTTCCTATTTGTTTCGATTTTGCATTTGCAGCAGTAACAACAAGTGAAGATGGAGTAGGAGAAGTATAAAAATACTCTAAACCCTTGGACAGTACTGGATATCTATGATCAGCACACTGTGAAGTAGTGGCAACTGAGACAGGAGTAACCCAAAGATCTTTTGCCAGATCTAAAATTCCTTCATTGATAGGCAGCGTGACTCTCCTCTGTGGGCAGGTTATGTATACAGTAACTAGAGTTCTTCAAGATGTTTTGTCCGATGGGAGCTCCATGTCAGGTTGTGTGTGCACCTGCATGCTCTTGATTGGAGATTTTTTTTGGTCAGCAGTGCCCTATGCATCCTTGTAGTCTGGTAGGAAAGTATGCAGGGAGGGGAAGACCCTCCGCTGCTCCGTTTTCTATTCATGGAGCCCAGAGGCAAAGACAGCGGAGAAGAAAGGTGGGTAGTGGAGCACCCACAGGGACAAAACATCTCAAAAAACTCCTCCTGTTTCTCTACAGGTAAGTCACTGCTCCTTCTTCTTTGAGTTATTGTCCCTATGGGCGACACGTAGCCTGCCCACACTCACCAGCCACCGCAGCTTGCTGCGCGCACCCGGGGACTGGGGACGGGGCCCTGCTGGCCAAGAGCTGGCACGCAGTGGGGGCCTGCGCTGATGGAGCAGCAGGAGGGACAGCCAGCCCCGTGCGCTGCAGCTTTGCCTCGTCACCAGCCTTACACACCCACCCCTATTGTCGGCCACTGGACCCACCCACTCACCGCGAGAAGGGATCCAGCCAGTAGCAGGACCCACCAGTACTGATGGTGAACGGGGACAGAAAATATGGGACAATTTGCCTGTTTTTAAGAAAAAGTTGGGACACCTGCAGGAGGGCTTAAATGCAGGACTGTCCCTTTAAAAACGGGACATCTGGTCACCCTAGGCATGCTCCATGGTATAGAATTGACACTAGGAAGCCCACTGTGGCTTCGACATCAAAAACAGAGCACGTGACAACTACAACAAGGCTGTACAGATCCATTTCATGGCCTACGTACACGTTCAATCCTCACCAGATCTGGCAAAAATGCACACTGGAACGCCCTGCCCGCCGCCAGGTTTGCTAACAGAGAGCATTGGAGCAGAAAGGGCGCGGCCTACAAGCTCTGCTGCTCTTGCCTGAGATCTGCCCCAAACCACTCAAGTTGGCCACCGACGGTCCGTCTCCACTGCAATTAAAAGCCCGGGGCTGGTCCATGCCCGCTGACTCAGGCTGTTTAACTGCGCTGGAGACATTCGGGCTCAAGCTGGAACCCGGGCTCTAGGACCCTGTGACATGGAAGGGCCCCCGAACGTTTGCACCTCAATGAAAGAGCCCCACAGCTCAAGCCCCATGAGCCGAGTCAGCTGGCACAGGCCAGCCGGAGGCGTCTAACTGCAGAGTAGACCTTACACCTTCAGCTGGTATAAATTAGCATTGTTCCACTGAAGTCAGTAAAGCTAAGTTGATTTGCACCAGCTGAGGAGATAGAATCATAGACTATTAGGGTTGGCAGGGACCTCAGGAGATCAAAGCAGGACCAATCCCCATATTTTTACCCCAGTTCCCTAAATGGCCCCCTCAAGGATTGAACTCACAACCCTGGGTTTAGCAGGCCACTGCTCAAACCACTGAGCTATCCCTTCCCCCTGGCCCAGGGATCTTCAAAAGAGCAGATCTTGGTATTGATTTACTAAGCCAGGAACAATTAATAAAGAGGAAAGACATGTTTATTTTATCACTCCTGAAAGAGGCAATGCCAAGATGGGAACAAGAGATGGAGAGAAGTGTAACATTTACCTGTGTGTCCGTCGGCCGCGTGGCAGCGTTACACTCATTGTCATCCACTACTGATACATAGGCACCGACCACACATTTCACTGCTCTCATTTGGTAGCCCTGCCCACATGTCATTGTGCACTGGGAGGGGGAAAAAATAAGAAAGACATGCACATGACTGAATAAAGATTTGACCTGGACAATATTAAGCGGGGTAGTGTATTCGAAGCGCATCATTGCTTTCATAACATCCACCAAAAGTAAAAAAGCCTTTTTCTTCTACTTCGATCATTTCAACTTAAAAGTAGGTCAAACTTAATTCACTGCTTCCGTCGGAATCCTGCATGCTTCATTTATCGTCTTCAAATATGGATGTATGAGTGTTTAAATGATTTCCCATTCTGTGGGATATGAATTTAGTATAATCCCTGTCACATTGCTTTGCATGCAGGCTGTGCAAACTTCCAGTAACATACCATGATCATGAATGAAAGGCATTATGCCGATCAGTAATTTGTGTGGTCTAGCTAACTTTTTTTTTTTTAATTAAATAACTAAATCATAAAAGTTACAGCTGCAATGGAAATCAAGATGACAGAATTCTCTGGAAGAAATTAGCACAGATTGCTTATTTTCCCCTCTGTGGAAATAAATTTGAAACACAACAAAAACTAAGGCGAGATTTTGAAAAAGGGCTGCGGAAAGTCAATGGGCGCTGCATTTATGAAAATCAGGCCACTTCTTATTAAAAGGAGGTAATATTGCCTAGTGGATAGTGCTCTATCTGGGATTCAGGGAATCTGGGCTCCAGTTCCAGCTCAGCTGTTGGATGACCTTGAGCAAGTCACGTCAGCCCTCTGTGCCTCAGTTTCCCCATCCGTAAAATGAGGGTAGCGATACTAATCTCCTTTGTATAGTGCTTGGGCGAGGTGCTGAGTGCCCTCAAGTCCCAAGTGGGCTCTCAGCACTGTATCAGAGCGGGTATTGCTATTATTTAGGTGCCTAAATATGGACTTCATAGTCTAAGCTTGGAAACCCATTTTTGAAAATCTTGGCCAATCTATTATAAACACAAATGAAATTTCGCATGGTCCTGCTACTGCTGTCAGACCATTCATACCAGGAGCAGAAGGAAACAGAGTCTCTTACATTACCTGTCCCCAGGGTCCTACTTGCCACGCCGCACATTCCTGTTGCTGACAGGTCTGCACAGAATTGGGCTTACTCTCCGGATCACAAAACCTGTCGTTTAATCGATCTTCTCCAAACTGGCACCAAGTCTGGCGATGTTTGTGCCCTTTCCCACAGGTTACCAAGCACTGCCAGGAGCAAATCACAGACTCGGGGTCAGATCCTTATCTGGTGTCAATGGAACTATGGTGATGGACAGCAGTTGAGAATCTGCCCGTGATATTAAAATCAGACCAGAAACCACCACCAAACAATTGTTTGCTTAGAGGCGTGTCTTTAACTAACAGGAGTTGGTTCATAGCACCAACTGGAGCTTAAAGAGAACTATGGGGGTCAAAACAAACATACAGGGAGGGTTGAAAATAACATCAAGTCAAAGAACATGGAGAAATATCAGGATTATTATTAATCACCCTGTTTGGGTAAATCAATGTAATTAAGGATGTACAGTGCAACTCATACAGGATTTACTGGGCTGGATTCGGATATAAACCTGGTGTAACTCCACTAACTTCAGTGGGGCTAGCTCAGCTTTACAGCAGTGTAACTTTTCCTCTGTGTTGCTAACATTCTTGTTATTCGTGAGGTTGGCTCCCTAGAACAGGGGTCGGCAACCTTTCAGAAGTGGTGCGCTGAGTCTTCATTTATTCACTCTAATTTAAGGTTTCGCGTGCCAGTCATACATTTTAACGTTTTTAGAAGGTCTTTTTCTCTAAGTCTATAATATATAACTAAACTATTGCTGTATGTAAAGTAAATAAGGTTTTTAAAATGTATAAGAAACTTCATTTAAAATTAAATTAAAATGCAGAACCCCCCGGACCGGTGGCCAGGACCTGGGCAGTGTGAGTGCCACTGAAAATCAGCTCGCGTGCCGCCTTCGGCACCCGTGCCATAGGTTGCCTACCCCTGCCCTAGAACTTCTTAAGAAGTGCCAGAAAGCAAAGGCTCAAATTACGGATGCTGTAGCGTGACGGTCAAAATGGGAGGTGTGCCGGGGAGAAAGGGTGCAGAAGCCCTTGCCTCCAAACCAATCCAGTGCAGGAGGCAGCCATGATCTGTCTCCAGGGACCGAGGAGTCTGGAAGGCCACAGCCAAGCACTAGCCGGGCCTCAATGGGGACAGGAGTACTGGCAACATCTCTGCAAAGATGTAGCAAAGTGCTCCTCTTTCCATGTTCCTGCCAGCCCAACGGCATCACAACTCCAGGGGCTGACGCTCTCTCTTCCTGCAACACAGCTCATGTTCTTAGGCGCCGGAGTTGGACCAAAGACCAAAGTGCACTCACTGCGGGATTTTTCCTCTGTCATCTCATTTCTTTGACTCCTGAAATAACATGACCCGTGGAGAAGTGAGCCCCGTTTAGACGAGCTACTGGGGTTTGCGTTTGTGGCGCTAGGGGGAGGAATACCCTTCTCCATGAGCCCCGTCAAAGGCGACAAAGCACCCCTGGAGCTGGAGTAATGCCTCATTTCCCTATTGTAGGCACATGCTTTCCAGAGAGAAAAATGGCCAGTGGAGCTGGAGGCTTAGGACCAAGGACACTGCTTCCCCACTCCTCCCTTTATCCTGGCTCCCAACTTTTCTTGTGTGCGGGGGTGAAGAGAGCGCCTCCAGAGTAGAGTGCTGATACCCCCACCGGGCATAGGACTCTGTGTGACATCTTTCACTCCTTTTCCACAGCAGAACCCCAGTGGTTCCAACGTGCCCCCTCTAAGGGAAAGAATCTGGTCGTTAGTAGCCATTCATCAGTCATGGGTAAAGACAGGCACATCAGTGCAGGCTGACTACTAAGTGCAGTGTTGCTGTACCCAGGTTGGTCCCAGGATATGAGAGACACAAGGTGGGTGAGGAAGTATCTTTCACCTGTTGGTGAAAGAGACAAGCTTTCAAGCTCCATGGAACTCTCCCGTTTTTGGTTTTAAAACAGTAGACACTTACTTCTGACCAGTCACCTGTTTTCCACTGTGGACACAAGAAGTCACTACAGCGCTGTACAATGAGCTTCTCCTGCTGGCCGCATTTACTGTCATCCAGTACATCATTGAGGGTGTTAACGCAGATGGCTCGTCGTCTCCTTGTGCCACCACCACAACTTTTAGAGCACTGAAAGAAAGAAAAACTCAGTCAACACACATAGGAATTGTACTCTGGGCCAGGCCAATAGTCTATGTAGGCCTGTAACCTGGACTAGATGCGCAGAAGGAGATGCAAGAAACCCTATAAAGAACAACTGTACAAAAGTGTCCCCATAGGGCAAGTTTCTTCCTAAGCCCAGGCAGCTGATGGCTGGTTTTGACCAGAAGTACAAAGGTTTGTATCCCTTATATATTCTTTTTTTAAATCTTACCAAGCACAATAATATCTTGTGGCAATGAGTTCCACAGGTTTCATTATGGGTTGTGCCAAAAAAGAATTCCGTTATTAGTTTTAAATTTGTTGCCTTTCAATTTCATTCAACTGGCATCTCTTTGTACTTGTATCATGAGAAATGGTAAATAGCAGTGGCCCGGTTTAACTTCTCAATACCAAAAATTGTTTTCAGGGCTTTGGAACTGTGCTCCGGCTCCGCTCCAGCTCCAGACAAAAACCTGCAGCTCCACTTTTCAGAGCTGCTCCGCGCTCCAGCTCCGGGCTCCGCTCCAAAGCCCTGATTGTTTTACATCCTCTACCATTTATACCAAGGTGCCTTTACACCACTCGGGCACTTTACGTGGCCTCAAGATGTGTCAATGCCAAAGCAGTGTAAAGGGGCCTCAGTGTAAACGAAGATCAAGATACATAATATTTTAAAAAGTCAAGTGATTTATATTGCAGTCATGAAACAGAATCTTGTCTTTATTTCAGTCTGCATGTTAAGGCCACACACAAACTCTTTATGCTAGCAGCTGTATGTGCAGAGAAAGGTCAAGATCTGTTTTACAGACATCGGAGGAATGCAGAAAGCAATGACGGATGCGTTACTGGGCAGCTTTGGACCCAGAGAACATGCTGAAAAATCAGCAGAAACGTCACTGTTTCCCAGTTCCATGTGCTATTTATAGCCACCAGTTTCACGGACTAGCTCCTCCTGATGACGGCTCCATGCAGGACTGACCGCCTGCAGAGTACATCTAATGCACTATTCCAGTAGAGGGCTTCAAAACAGCAGCAAAGGACTGCAGGATACTTTCCAAAGCCACTTTTATTACTAGGTTAGGCTGACCAAGTGCCTGCCCTACCTAAACATTTGACTGGGAGCTGCCAAGAATACACAGGCTGGAGATTTTTACCTGAAACAAGGCAAATTTCACTACTCAGGTGACATACTTACATCAGACCAGGCTGAATACCGCCATCCTCCTACGTTACAGTCTCCAAAGCATTTTTCCCTAGTATTTGGCTTGGTTTGGCCACTGCAGAATCGGTCGTCGACTTTCTCGGTCTTCCCTTCCGACCTACTGTACTTTGTGCAGTAGACTTCTAGCGTTCGGTATCCCAGCCCGCACTGCGCAGTGCATTCGCTCTTTCTAGCAATATGCCACCTGGGCACAAACCCCCACCCCAAAAAACACCATCAGTAACTTGGCCAGTTTTATGCTGTCTAAAATAGTAAGCCTGGAAGAGCACGGCAAATGCACCTGGTTTTGAGAGGAAAAGCAGAAGCAGAAAGGGTTGCTGCTTTTTAGTATCCTATGTGTATAATGCAGTTAGTATCATGTTACATAAATAAGGAATGTACATACTTTAATTATATAGATTTTTAACTCATTACAACACCACCCAAAGCTTTGCATCTTCAAAGTGCTGTCTAAAACATTAGCTAATTACTCCTTGCATCACTCTTGGAATGTACATACGTATTATTGGCCCCTTTTTACGGATGGGGAAACCAAGGCAGTGAGTTTAAGTGACCTACCCAAGGACACAGATAGAGTCAGTGGCAGAGCAAGGATTAGAATTCAGGGGTTCCTGGCTTCTAGGCCTGTGTTCAGACCCCTAGACTATGCCTCACCCTCAGAAAACCAAAAGCTTTCCAAAAACATGGCATCAAATGTATTAGATTTGTATGGGCATGAAGCGTACGTCAAATGTAATTCCATGGAGCAGAATGCTTTAGCAACACTTTCAGCCCTCTGAAGTGGAACCGAGTGATTTGTGCACTGGTACAAGATAGAGGATACAAAGAAAGAGTTCTATCAGGGATTAAAAAGCGCTTGCTCTCAGATGGTGGGACTTTGGTCCTGGCGTTTGCCAGGGGGGCTTCTACTGCCCGCAGGCAGTGATGCCAAAATTAAGGCCATTCAACTGAGAACCTCAGGGCTTTTGTCCACCTTTTGGTTCTTGAACACACTTTCCTATCCACAGCCACATCCTCATGCTTTAGTCACCTTTCCTATCCTGAAGCTAGGAGATTAGACATCCTCCTTTAAGACTGATACCTGCCTCATGACTATAATAGATCTGTGCAGGTGACGGGAGACTTTAATTCACACTATTGGGATTCCTCACTCCAGAATCTGGGACTAACACGTTTTCCACTATCAGGACTTGATATAAATATTAAATTATATCACAGAGTGCTGGATGGGTGGCAGAAAAAGCACAGTTCAGTTGATGGGCCACTGGCCTGGGAAATCGGAGCCCTGAGTTCTCTTCTTGGCTCTGCCACTGATCTGCTAGGTGACCCTGGGGAAACCCATTCACCTCTGTTTCCCAGCCTTTGGATTTATCTTGCAAAGTCTTTGGGGGAAAGGTTAGTCTCTTAATGTGCCATTAATACAGATCCTAGCACAATGGGCCCCAGACCAATAATAAATAATAATAATAATAATTAAATGCATGTTTAGTCCTAAAGGCTTACTTTCATTATTGGTCGCGAGCAGTTGTGTTTATTCTCCCATCAATGTACTGAGGATACATGCAAGTAATTGACATTAATGCGATCTACACAGCCATATTGCCCAGGCGTCAGAGAGGGACTAGGCCCCAAGGCACTGAACATTTTTCATAGCTATTGGGTAGAATCCTGCCTTTGCAGAGATGCACCTGCATATCTAGGAGCAGAAGTTGGCCTTTCCTACTCTTTTGAGGGTGTTCTCCATGTTCCTCTTAAACATCCCCCATCTGCACTCCCACCAGCTACACAAACACGCACTCTTCTGGGTTTTATCCAAGCCCCCCACCCTAAAGATCATCCAATGCAGACACCATTTTTCCAAGCGAGGACTGCTAAACTGGTCTGCCTGCATCACTGCCTCTTCACCAGTTGTCCCCGACCCTGTCGGAGGCGCTTGTGGTTACTTCACTACAATTGCAGACTGGCAGGATATGACATGGTGAATGGGGCTTGATTACATGAGGTCCTGAGAGCCCACTTGGGACTTGAGGGCACTCAGCACCTCGCCCAAGCACCTTGCAGAATTAGGTCCATGGGAATTAATTAATGTCCACTGAAGTCAATGGAATGAGTCCCACTGACTTCAACAGGCATCGGATCAGAGCCCAAATTATAGTCTCTTGTATAGAAAATGTGGAGCTCCTCAACTTGGCCACAAGGCCAAACTCCAGCAGAGTAGCTAGGAAAATAAAATAAAGATCTGGAGTCAGTAGGTCCTGATTTACAGGTCAGTCTCAAGTCTGTTATCACTTTCCTAACTTTTAGTAAAAAGAACAGGAGTACTTGTGGCACCTTAGAGACTAACAAATTTATTAGAGCATAAGCTTTCGTGGGCTACAGCCCACTTCTTTGGATGCATAACTTTTAGTGTTCCCCCCTCTGGAGCTTCCAAGCTGTTGAAATGGCAACTGAGTAACCTTTCAGCTGTTATAATGACAATCTGAGAGGACCATCACATTCTCAGTTGGAATCTAGATAAAAACTAAACTGGCCCAGCAGCCGCCACGTAACCCCCTCTCTCTGCCCACACTTTAGTCCAAAAGTTCACAATTTAGTGGTAGAATCTCCGTCCATAGAGGTTTTTAAGGCCCGGCTTGACAAAGCCCTGGCTGGGATGATTTAATTGGGGTTGGTCCTGCTTTGAGCAGGGGGGTGGACTAGATGACCTCCTGAGGTGTCTTCCAACCCTAATCTTCTATGATTCTATGAAAAGTGTAAAAGTTAAACAGGTCTAGAAATAATGGTTCTTTCAGAAAGTTTTTCCCCCCAAAAAATCTTTGGCCATACTGTAATCATCAGAGGCAGTTGTTTGGCTAAGGCCCTCATCCAGCAAAACACTTCGGCACATGCTAACTTACAACTCACGAGTACTCCCGCTGACTCCAGTAGGACAACTCACATGCTTAAAGTTAAGCACATGCTTAAGTTGCTTTGCTGGATTTGGGACTACTTTTGTTTATTTTTTAACGTTTGCAGACTGCTTCTCCCGGGAAGACAAGATCACCATGCAGTTCCCAGCCTTGTTGATCAAGTCAGGATAGGAATCACAGGCTTTTGTCTCATGTTTCTACATTTTGCAACATTGAATAAAGGATGTGCCCCTTGCAGTTAGTGCTTCTTTCAGCATAGAAAGGCAAGCTGAAGCGAAGAGAGCAAAACATGTCCCTCCTCCAAAGAAGCCAGTGTGCACCATTAACTTGCGGCAGAATTTTCATAGAATCATAGAATATCAGGGTTGGAAGGGACCTCAGGAGGTCATCTAGTCCAACCCGCTGCTCAAAGCAGGACCAATCCCCAGATAGATTTTTACCCCAGATCCCTAAGTGGCCCCCTCAGGAATTGAACTCACAACCCCAGGTTTAGCAGGCCAATGCTCAAACCACTGAGCTATCCCTCCCTCACGTTACTCTGCAGAAGCCTACAAAAGCAATGTTATTGTCTGCTTCAGCAAGCGTAGGTCACTGAGAAATAAGGAACCACAAAAGGCAGTGAAAGGAAAGAAGACTAGGCAATAAATATATGATGTAATGTATATACATGACTGAGTAGCGTGCACCTTAATTCACATTCTGTGCTACAAGGCTCAGTTACTGGATCAGGTTGGGGAATTCGATCACATCTTTGATCTGACACCATGAGTTGATCAGATTCTCTGGTACAAATGGGTTTCCTTTTTCGTTCCCCTAAACAGGAAAAAATACATTTTTAAACACATACAGGAAAGTGATCCAATCTAGTCTCTCTCTTTCTGTTTTCAAAATAGCTTCTTAAAAAAATTCAAATTGTGCTCTGCAAATCTATTTGATCTAGGGGATCTACTATAGATGTGAAATCTGCATTATGAACTCAAAAAGGATCCAGCTTATTTAGATGGACTTTAGTACAACTGGTGAATGAGAGAGAGGTAGTGTATAAGAACATAAGAATGGCCATACTGGGTCAGACCAAATGTCCATCTAGCCCAGTATCCCGTCTTCTGACAGTGGCCAACGCCAGGTGTTTCAGAGGGAATGAAGAGAACAGATAATCAACTGATCCATCCCCTGTCACCCATCTAGGAGGTATACAGAGGTACAGAGACAGATGCTCCTGAATGCTAACCCCAGCTCTGACATTGACTCCTGTTGCAGCTCTGGGAATGAGAAGGAAACGCTCCGTGCCTCAGTTTCCCCATTGCAACACTTCCATACCTCATAAGGTTGTTGTGAGGCTCAGTGAATGAATGTATGTGAAGCGCTTTGAAGATGAGAAGCACCAGAAAAGTGCTAAACATTATCAGCTGGCATAAGGCAGCATAGATCATTCCACTACTACAGCTCATGGAAATGATCAAACTCATATGATATAAGAAGCTCAGAGAAAGCAAGTGAAAATGCATTTATTACCACCACCAAAATCCAGAAAATGCCGTGACTGATTTAAAATACTCCAAAGCACATACCTTGACAAAGTTTACTGCAGGCTTGCCACGGGCCATAGATGTTCCAGTAATACTGCTGAGGTTTGTCTTCAATTGGGATATTGAATGTGTATCGAACATCAGGATTATATAGATTACCCACTGATAGAATCTGGGGAAAACAAAGACACACACGGATAAACTAAGACCAGTCAATATCTGTGCTATTTTCACTCAAATATAACCCAGCGGAGGTACATTTGCGTGAAAGAAGTACACTTTACCTGAAGAATGATTTCTTGCTCAATGCGCTCCGTAGAATTAATCCTTTCTATTGTATTGTCTGAGCCACTGTATTCGATCACAGCATTCCCAACTTTGATTTCCCTTTTAAACATGCTGACGACAAAGTCTCCATTCAAGATGAAGGCTCCATGACTGTTTGATAAGGCTGCGCAAAAGAGGTAAAAACAAAACCCCACACTCACATAAGTAACTCACGTACGCTGAAGCAACGTAGATCGAGCACTTGATTTGAGGTCCCGTAGACACACACATTTTAAAACTATGGGGCCAGACCCTCCGCTGGTGTAAACTGGTGGAGCCGCATTGGCTTCAGTGATTTCCCTCCCTGATTTCCAGCAGCTGAGGAGCTTACCCATACAGTTTTGGAAACGCCATGCTTGACATCAGTGGAAGCGGAGGGAGACGCCACATATTACAGGATCAGGCCCCTAGGCTGGAGTCATTGCCCCACTGCGGAGCCCAGCAGCCAGGCAGCAGGGTCAGGCAAGTCAAGGCAGTACTACAATTTTGCTGCTTTTGAGACTTTTTTTGGGGTTAAAAATCCATATTTCGAGCCCTGCAAAATGAGTTGTTTTTGGAGGCGGGGAGGAGCTGCTGTAGTTTTCAAAGGAGGGGATGGGGAGCAATCAGCAGGACAGACCTTTTCTAGTCCCAGGCTGGGACTGAGAAGAGGAGCCTCCCTCTGTGAGAAGAGCCCTCGGTTGTCCTAACTCACATAGGGGCTGGGGGGAACAGCTATGGCTTCCTGACAGCCTCCTGCATTGAGAGGATTTCAGGCCTGGGGACACTCTATCCCACGATGGTGTCTCTGATTTTAAATCAAGATTGGATGTGTGGTTAGATGTTGATGGATGTTTGGCAGTGCATGCGTGTGTTCCTTCTGTGTGCCACCACCCCAGCCCTGCGCAGACAGCTGGCATGGCAGATCTCGATCGAATCGCCCAATGACCACAAGATCCGTTAAGGGATGAAGGCAATCTGCTTTGATCTGTTTGCTATCACTTAAAATCTATCTTTTGTAGTCAATACATTTTTTTTTTGCTTTGTCTAAACCAGTGTGCCTTTGAGTGAAGTGTCTGGGGGAAAATCTCAACTCTGTGAGCAAAGGCTGTTGCATATCTTTCCCACATCGAGGGTAAGGCGAACTTTATTAATGAGCTTACATTGTACAGATCTCTGTGCAGGGCAAGACAGCCAATTTTTGGGTTTATACTCCAGTGGGGGGTGCAAGCCTGGAGAGCTGGGAAATTGGCTGTCTGTCTGAGTGGCTTATGTATAAGGTGACCAGACAGCAAGTGTGAAAAATCGGGACGGGGACCAGGGGGGTAATAGGAGCCTATATCAGAAAAAGACCCCAAAATTGGGACTGTCCCTATAAAATCGGGACATCTGGTCACCCTACTTAGGTACAGCACTGAGGTAGCTCAGTTTGGGTGTGTGGCACCGCCTGCTGTCCTGCTGGGTGACAACAGGGCCTGGTGAGGCTGGCTGTGTCTCCAGCAAAGCAGTGTGAGAAAAGGGCCAGCCCAGCTGGGGGGTCAGAGGGGTGCAGCGGTCCCCCTGGGGGTGACAACCTGTCTGCACCCCTGGGGGTGACAACCCATCACATGCTTTTCTGAAAGGTCTGCGCTAGGAATTATTTGGGGCAGTTCTCTGGCCTGCGTTACACAGGAGGTCAGAGTCAATCACAATGGTCCCTGCTGGACTTGGAGCCTATGAATTATTTAAAGAATTATTGTAGATCCTCTGCCAGTCAAACCCATTGGGTCTCTCAAGGGAGAGGAGCTTGAGGACAGCGGCAGTGACAATACAACCGCTGTGCCTGCAGCCGAGGACTGGTCCTGCTTATTGTGGTGTACCACAGCTCCGCGCTGGGAGACCATGGGGACGTCTACACGGCGCGTAGAATAGAGACGCTGCACGGCCCCCTGGCATGGATGCAAACAGCTGTGTGGATGGTGAGACACTGCTTGAGCCAGTAGAGTAGAGACACTCCTGAACTCCTCAGGGATCTACCCTGCACGGGTCTCCACACGCCCAAGCTGTGCCTTCCCCATCTACACGGCTATTTGTAGCAGTATCCCGCTGCCTGCCCACTGCTGGAGCCTTTCCTAGCCACACGGAACTGCTGGAAACTTTCCCCACCACAGGGAAAGCCTCTGCCAGCAGGGAAAGGCTCCGGCAGCTCCCCGTGGCGGGGAAAAGCTCTGGTAGTGGGAAGCCGCAGCAAGCTACCAGAGCCTTTCCCCATTGCCAGAGCCCTTCACTGTCGCGTGTCGCTCCACACCACAGGTAGGAGGCTTTTCCCTGTGGCATGTAGCTTGTCATGCTGAGTACAGTCCCATCAGAGGCCCTAGGAACAGACACAGGGCAAGTAGCCCTTCCTGCTGTCATGGTTTAGAATGGGAGCACAGGCAGAGCCAGCGTGGGTATGCCTGGCTGCGCGGGAAATCACATCTTCCAGCTGCCGTGTAGGCAGACCCTACGCTGGCCCCAGGCCTTATTAGAAGAAAGGCAGACTGCCGGAGGGTGCTCCTAAAGACAGGGCACAGGCGGGGCGGCAAAGAGGTGCCAGCTTGGTCTTTAAATAGTACATGTAAACTGCACCTCAAATATTGCAACACACAAATTGCACAGATAAAGACAGGGGCCGGGCAAGGTTGTTCGCGGTAAAGGTTGTCAGGCTGTAGAACCTTTCCATCCTGCATCGGTAGGGTACGCGCCATGTAACGGAGCTGCCTGGATTTCACCTTCCAATGGAGTTCAGCCAGCATCATCGTTTTTTTGTTTTATTCCAGATCTTGAGGCATGCAAAAGCACGGACGGCTTAAAGCCTAACTGCTTTCTAAAAGGACCGGTTTCCTGCACACAGCCGTCTGCTGCACAACTTCACACTAATGCGATTATGTAGCTAATTTCCGAAGTTAGTTTCCCCACCATTTCACCCATCACAGCTACATTACTACAAAGGCTCTCTACTGTAAAACCTAAAGCTACCATCAAAACATGGAAGGAGGGGTTGAAACATAACTAGGAGAGAGAACAAAGCAAAAGGTTGCTCGGCAGCCAACACGTACATGGCCAAAGGAAAACCTCAAAATGCAGGGTTCAGCCGCAACCAAATTCCTCCTCCTGTGACTTAACACTATTAAGCAGCAGTAAAACACATTAAAGGAATCCATTCCATTTAGTGCACCTTCCTACAACAATAGGGGAGACCGTTTAGACATCCCAGACTTGATGACAACATCAAATTCCTCCTAGATTGTTATGTAACTACTACCAGGTTCACAATATCCAGGGCCTAAGATTTCACACTCAGTGAACTGCGAAATGAGTGTACACATGCACACTTTTCACTTGCCTAACAGGCCTAATAGGAAGAGCTGCTTTCCCAGCAATATTCAGTTAAAGAAATCACAACTGGCCTAGACCCTATACTCTACGCCGCAACATTAAAGAAGATTTGACTTCATGCTTCTCAAGAAGATTAAAGGCCTTCAGAAAGAACTGAGAGGTTATTCTGGGCGCAGGGGCCTGGCCGGGGTAGACTGTTCTGAATACACAGCAGGGAACTATATACATGGAAGATTATTTTTCTAGGAAAGAGAAGAATAGGGAGGACTCTGGAGAAAGACAGAAAGTGTTTGGAAAGTTTTACGGTTCTCTTGGTAACAAAGCTTGCATATCCATCCAGTTTTGCTTAATTAGACACTTGTAAACATACATTCATAAATGACGTAGCCACAAATTAATGGCAATATGTATATAAGGGCAAAATACCTTGAATGGCCCCAATCCTGGAATCAAATCCATATAGCTGGACCCTTCGGGCACAGGCGTCCACTTGCATGGATCAACTGTCAGGAGCAGGGCTCAGATGAATCACCTGATTTTGTATTTCCTTTCCCTGAACTGTATTCTCATTGGCAAGATTCTCTAATGACTGCAAAGGAAATATTTTCTACATCTTAAACCATGCAGAAGACCATCAGGCCATTGATTTTCTTTAGCATATCAGGCTAGCTTGAGCCCTCCGGGGCCTCCTGGACAGGAAGCGTGACTCAGAACGTCACCACCTCTCCCTGAGTCTCCTCTTGCCTTTAGCTCACTTCCCACTTCAGGCCTGGCCAGCTCTGCTTGGCATGGCTCCGCCCACTCACTTCTAGAGAAAGGGTGGCTCCGCCCACTCACTTATGGGGCACAGAGCCTCTACAGTCTCTCCCCACTCCTGGAGTTGTGCCATGCTGGGGGTGTTCCTTACACCCCACTCTTCCCTTGAGCATCTGGGTTAGGATAAGGGACAATCTCCCCCATAGTAAATCGAGGCCTAAGGCCTGGTCTACACTACCCCCCCACTTCGGACTAAGGTACGCAAATTCAGCTACGTTAATAACGTAGCTGAATTCGAAGTACCTTAGTCCGAACTTACCGCGGGTCCAGACGCGGCAGGAAGGCTCCCCCATCGATGCCACGTACTCCGCTCGCCGAGCTGGAGTACCGGCGTCGACGGCGAGCACTTCCGGGATCGATCCGGGGCACTTCCGGGATCGATCCGGGATCGATTTATCGCGTCTTAACCAGACGCGATAAATCGATCCCAGAACATCGATTGCCTGCCGCCGGACCCTACCGTAAGTGTAGACGTACCCTAAGTAATGATACTACAAAAAAACAACAACAACCCATGGGTGAAGTTAACTCCTATACACAAGGCCCATCCATCATCCTACTTTGAGGGCTTAAGTGGAACGTAAGCGCTGCAGGGGTTACATGCCAGCCCTCTGCATGGGGATGAATTTCACCCCAAGTGAAGACAACATTTAAAATAACTAATCATTAAAGCCAACACACACACACATATACGTATTCAGTTATTTTTAAAAATCTATTAAAATAAAAAACAACCTAACAACAACACCAGCCTGTTTTGACAAGCTGATTCTTCCGCCTTTCGAAAACAAGATGACGCCTATTGTCCAAACAGGGATCTAGATACAAGCGAATGATCCACGGTGCTGCTGACCAACCCAAACAAAGGATGTGTGCAAAGGAAGAGAAACAGAGTCACAGTACGAGCACTCTGCAAATCAGGGGCAAAACTTCCTGGACTTCAATGTGGCCAGGATTTCACCCCTCTCAGGATGAAATTCACGGCTGTGCAAAGGGCCAGCATGAACCCTACTGGGGGGAGACAACAGGACTGAAGTCGAAGACAGGCCTTACTGGGCATCTGCCCAGGTATCAAATTCACCCAGAGGTGAATTTCTGTAGCGGTGGATTCTGCCATCCTTGCTGTCCTCACCAAGCCGTACTATTTCAGGAGCAAGTTACTGCTCAGCGTGAACTAGGGGGTCAGAATGTTGCTGTCGCGTGTGCGCAATAGCTAAAGGTTGAGTTACCATTATAACATATCGGTTTAAATAAAAGCAAGATGCTTGGGACCTGATTCTTGTTTACACTGCTCTGGCAGAGGTAAAGGGGAAGTTGTATAAATGAGGATCAGGCCTGTTATCTCCCAGTGGAATAGTAAATAATATATATTTTGGTTACATTACCTAAAAATATGTATAGAATTTCCCTTAAAATCTTGTAAATGTCTCTGTCTTTATACTCCAGCAAATGTAGCTTATGAAGGGATCAGTGTACCTGTGCTGGGACTCCGGAAATCAGAGCTCAATTCCCAGCTGTGTCACAGACTTCCTGAGTGACCTTGGGCGAATTACTTAATCTCCCTTACTTCCTACCTGTGGAATGGGAATACTACTATTTCCTGATCTCACAGGGGCATTGTAAAGATAAAATAATTAAAATTTGTTAGCCTCTCATGTACTACAGCAATGAAGACCTTATATAGATAGATGAAGCAAAATTAAAGCTAGTCCATCTGGAAGATATACTGTACATATTCTTGACAGTGAAATCTAAATATTCCTTACCTGAGAAAGGGCCGTATAAATAGCATGTGTCTCTACATTCTAATGGGCATTAAACTTACCAAGGTAGTTATCATCTTCTGGTTTCCCTGAGTAACTGTGCTGCCGCACATCAATATTTGTAGCACCAGCGGGTATGCGTACCACGGTGTTATAGCCTAAAAGATTGAGCAGAAGGTCAAGACTATTCCTCAGCCATTCCATTTATTTTTTTATGGGAGGAGGGAAAAATCTTTAAACATTTTAAATAATCAGGCATTACACAAACCAAATTTTTCCTGTCAGGGTAGCATAAATAGCTACAGAACAGAATATACCACAGCTAGAGGGATTTTGCAGCTTACATGAGCGTTTTCGTAGACTGTAGGTAGTTAATGCTTTTATAGGCTTGCATTTTTCTCTATAAAGTTTTCTGGTGACAGAGTCTTACCATAATGCACTGTATTAAATGTGCCTGCAACAGTTTTGCATGAAGAATTATCACCACCACAAACACCACATTTGTCTCTTCTTGCCTTGGAATTTAGCACATGATCACAGCCAGCTTGCTTTAAGAGAAAAAGTTAAAAACTAGATTGAACAAATATTAAATAAGACAGAACTTACAAATCTCCTAATTAAATCATACTAATCATCTGTGTACAAAGACCACCGCCAAACTATTTCCCCCCCCCTTTTTCCACATGTTTAGTTAATTTACAGTGTAACCATCTTACACTGAAGCTGTTTTTAAGCAGAGGGTCTCCAAAAAGCAAGGACTCGTTATAATCAAACGCGGAATTTGCATACTGCAACATTACGACAATTTGGAATTTCTTTCCATAGCAGTCAGTTTATTATATCCTACTTCACTATTATTAACAGTGGGTAGCAGTGGATGCTGGTGCCCCTCACTCCCAAACAAGGCTTAACATCAAGGGATTTGTGTACTTGTGCCTGCGACTGTGCCACTGGTAGAAGAAGAAAAAGATGGCAATGTTATCCAGTTTAGAGATTGCCATGTGTACAAGGGAACCTCAGTTTGGGGAGTCACTCTGGAATAGGTTGTTCTCAGATGGAGGAGAATAGCATTAAAATAATTGTGAAGAGGGGAAATAAATTCCGGCATGGTCAGACTTTCAAACGAGCCCAGGGCTAGATTTTTCATGTCCTCCCCACTCAAAATTGGGCTGAGATTTCAAGAGTGCTCAGCACCCAGAAACTGCAACACTTATGGACAGATTTTCAAAGAGCTCAGTGTTGAGCTCTTTTGAAAATCTGGTCACTTATTAAGGTGCCAAAGTAGTTGCTGAGGTCTCTGGAATTTTCAGAGGGCTCAAGGCACAGAACTAGAGCTGGGTTTTCCAATCACAAGACACATGACCACGAGAGCAGGGCTTCTTTGATTTGCCTTGGGAAGAATCCACACTAGTATCCGTGAAGCCCAGAATGTGGAAGTGGGATCGAGAACTGATCTTTTCAATAAAAACAAGAAAACAACCTAGTTAAACAGCAGAAGGAAATATTTACCCGACAAAGTCCTTGCACACAGATGTCATTTGTGTCTGGGCCACAAGGGGTGCCATCAACAACTCGGTCCCTGAGCTGATAGTAGGCTGTGTTTCCTGCTACCCTACAGAACAACTTGCACCGATCTTTCATTAAAACTGGAAAAGCAGAAGGTCACGTTATTTTAATTCTATTCCCTTATGCAGCCATTGCAAAGAGGCGGACGTTCATTTCCTGACATACTCACTTCCACTGTATTTAGGAACCCAACGCACATTAGGAGGTAGACCGTTAATGTTAAAATGCTTCCCATCAAAGTCAGCGCACTGCTCATCTCGGAAGTCTTTCTTTAGTTTAGAGCATGGTTCAGTGTTGCAGGATTTAAATTTCATTCGACGACCCACGCAATATTTCCCACCATTCTTGGGCCTGGAGAAAAAAAAAATCACTTTAGTTCTAAGATGCAATGATCAACCACAAGCCTAAGAGGCAACGTATCAACTGAGCCTCTATTTGAGTTCAACCTCCCTCCCTCTAATATATCAACTTTTGGTACTTTTCATCCTCCGAGCCTCTCAACCTTGCTCTCCCATCTCATGAAAGATGCTCTTCCAAATGAGACTGGAGGCTATGAAACCCAACAAGGTCCTTCCTGCAGCAACCAGGAAAGTGGTTAGAGTGGTACCCATTTTCCTTTCCCAGGGACAGGGTATGCTGCCTGGATTGCACGTGAGCACGTATGTTACTCTTCCTGGGTTTGAACCCCAGGCCTGGTAACAGGTGGCGGTGTTCTTATTATGATGTGGAGCGCTTGTATTTAACGGTTACGTTGTTCTTTTATTCAGAGATTCCATAACACAGCAACCACAGCCTGCAGCCATCCGCAAGCTTTCCCCAGCCTTCCGAAAGGGAAGATGACTTTGGTCTCTGCTGCCACCTCCACCTTATTACACAACGACAGCTGTTCTGCACGCACAGGGGTAGGGGCGGAAGCTTAAACTTCTTTGGATCACTCCGATACTTGCGCATGATGGGCCTGATTCAAAGCCCACTGATGCAAATGGGAGTTTTTCCACTGACTTCAGTGAGCCTTGGATGAAGTGCTATGCTACCAGCCACCGGTCCCACAATCACATTCCTCTAACTAGTTCAAGACATTTATTATTTACAACACTTCTTCTGTTACTGATGATGAAGAGCCTATATTTTGTTCTTGCATTTCTTTAAGAAAGATCTCAAATACAGCTAAATACTGCAGGCAGTAAGTGGAAGGGGTTAAGAAATAAGAACAAAGACAAGGGAAAATAAAGATGTGGGCGGGGGAAGGAGGAGTGAGGTAGAGTGAGCTGCACCCTACAGCTCCTCACAACAAAGCCCTGATAATTTGCCACTTCTCAGCAGGCTAGTGGGATACCCGAAAGGCAGATAGATCCGGATACACAATAGGGCACAGCTCAAAGTGGGCTGAATGCAGGCCTGACTATGGAGCTGCAAAGGGGAACCCTCAAACAAGTTCAGAACTACTTTGGACTGAAAATCTAGTGAAACAATGCTCTCTGGTGAGATTTCCATTCACCTACTTCTGGTTACAAATGAAACCTGGGAATGGCGGAGGCACAAAAACCTCCATAGGCGAGGGAGTCAGGGTGAGATGCTTAACAATCCTCAAAGACCCAAAAAAACCAACCAAGCGAAGTCCAGGGTCAGTTTGTTTCTATACAGCAGTTGGGAGGGTGCTTGGCAGAAGACTTCATGGGTGGCAGCTCAGGGGGTCAGGAGAGATTGTACTTGGGCAGCTAGCCCAAGCCACCACCCATGCAGTCACGGCCATACTGCTATTTTTAGCACGCTACCGCAAGCAGACTAGCTAATGAATCAGTGTGTGTATATATCTTTAAGGGAATCACCTCATTAACATGGCAGACTCCACCCTCTTCTGAGGAGCACAGATTATGCTGGGGAGAGTGGGCAGAGAGAACGAGATTCCCAGGAGGAATGAATTCCCCCTCGGCTGCAGTCATTTTAAATTTTATGTTCTGAGAATCTACAAATAAAAATGGGACGATCCCTAGAGAGACATACAGGGACCTCATCACCATACGAACTTGAACCATTGGTGGCCCAGAGCACCTTGCTGTGACAACTATTGTTTGAATTACTGGAGAGCCTAGGAGCCCTAGTTGATTCTGATAGCGAGAAACTAAAACACCAACCACAACATTTACCTTACACCTTATAGAACATGCAATCGTTCAGTTTAAAAAAACCCAAAACTTTTACAACTGCTACCCTTCATTGTTGGCAGGATAACGGCCGGCACAACTGTACAGTGCCCTCTAGAAGTTGGCCCCCAGGGCAATCATCCTGCTAGCCCACTCCTAGAACTGGCCCTGATCACCTGCTTGTTAAATTTTCAAACAAGCACCTTCAGGTTTTCTTTTATGCTGCCCCCTTGCAGTGTTCTTCCTCAAATCCCTCTTAAAACTCTGTGATGCCTATAGAAAACTTGACAATGGATAGGCCATAAGAACAGCCATACTGGGTCAGATCAAAGGTCCATCTAGCCCCAGTATCCTGTCTTCTGACAGTGGCCAATGCCAGGTGCTTCAGACGGAATGAACAGAACAGGTAATCATCAAGTGATCCATCCCCTGTCGCCCATTCCTAGCCTCTGGCAAACAGAGGCTAGGGACACCATCCCTGCCCATCCTGGCTAATAGCCATTGGTAGACCTATCCTCCAGGAACTTATCTAGTTCTTTTTTGAACCCTGTTATAGTCTTGGCCTTCACAACATTCTCTGGCAAAGAGTTCCACAGGTTGACTGTGCGTTGTGTGAAGAAATAATTCCATTCATTTGTTTTAAACCTGCTGCCTATTAACTTCATTTAGTGACCCCTGGTTCTTGTGTTATGAGAAGGAGTAAATAACACTTCCTTATTTACTTTCTCCATACCAGTGATTTTATAGATCTCTATCATATCCTCCCCCCACCACGCCTGTCATCTCTTTTCCAAGCTGAAAAGTCCCTTAATTAATCTCTCTTCATACAGAAGCTGTTCCATACCCCTAATCATTTTTGTTGCCCTTTTCTATACCTTTTCCAACTCCAATGTATCTTTTTTGAGAAAGGGCGACCAGATCTGCATGCAGCATTCAAGATGTGGGCATACCAGGGACTTGTATAAAGGCAATATAATATTTTCTGCCCTATTATCTATCCCTTTTTTAATGATTCCCAACATTCTGTTGGCTTTTTTGACTGCCGCTGCACATTGAGTGGATGTTTTCAGAGAACTCTCCACAATGACTCAAGATCTCTTCATTGATAACAGCTAATATAGACCGCATCATTTTACATGTATAGTTGGGATTATGCTTTCCAATGTGCACTACTTTGCATTTATTAACATTGAATTTCATCTGCCATTTTGTTGCCCAGTCACCCAGTTTCGTAAGTTCCCTTTGTAACTCTTCACAGTCTGCTTTGGACTTAACTATCTTGAGTAGTTCTATCATTTGCAAATTTTGCCACCTCACTGTTTACCCCTTTTTCTAGACCATTTATTAATATGTTGAACAGCACTGGTCCCAGTACAGACCCCGGGGGACACCACTACAGTAACTCCTCACTTAAAGTCCTCCCGGTTAACGTTGTTTCATTGTTACGTTGCTGATCAATTAGGGAACATGCTCGTTTAAAGATGTGCAATGCTCCCTTCTAAGTCGTTTGGCAGCTGCCTGTTTTGTCCCCTGCTTGCAGGAAGAGCAGCCCGTTGCATCTAGCTGGTGGGGGCTTGGAACCAGGGTGGACCGGCAGCCCCGTATCAGCTCCCCCATCAGCTCCCCGCTCCCCTAAGTTCCCTGTGCAGCAGCTGTCTGCAGTTCAGCTGTGTCCCTCCCCCCACTGCCATGTGCTGCTGCTGCCCTCTGCCTTGGAGCTGCTCCCAGAGACTCCTGCTTGCTGTACGGGGGGAGGGGAGGGAAGAGGAGAGCTAATGTCAGGGTGTCTCTCCGTCCCCCCGCACCCCGCTTACCCCATCTTCCATAGAGCAAGGGACACACACGACAGAGGGAGCTTCCAGTCTCAGCTTGCTGATCTAATTAACAAGGCAGTGTACTTCTGACCCCACTCTTCATACTTAAAGGGGAAATGCGCATCTCTCTCTCTCTCTCACACACACACACACAGGGTGTGTGTCTCTGTCTGCCCTCCCTCCTTTCCTGCTGCCTAGTAGAGTGTGAGAGTTAACCCTTGACGGCTCAGCCCAGGTATGGCTCTATGTTTTTTGCTGCCCCAAGCAAAAAAAAAAAAAAAAAAAACTCCGAGAGCGCAACTGCCGAAGCAAAAATGTGCTGCTGCAAGCACTTGCTTGGTTTGCTGGTGCCTGGAGCTGGCCCTGGCTCAGCCAATTGTTAGTTCATCATTTAGCAGTAAGGCACTCCCTGGGAAATATCCCACTCTCTTATTCCACCACCTCAACCAAGCTTCACAATCATCATCACTGTGTACCAGTATTAAATTGTTTGTTTAAAACTCTGTGTGTGTGTGTATAAAATATAGTCTTTTGTGTGATGAAAAAAAATTCCCTGGAACCTAACCCCCTCATTTACATTAATTCTTATGGGGAAATTGGATTCGCTTAATGTCGTTTTGCTTAAAGTCGCATTTTTCAGGAACAGAACTACAACGTTAAGTGAGGAGTTCCTGTATTTACCTCTCTCCATTCTGAAAACTGACCATTTATTCCTACCCTTTGTTTCCTATCTTTTAGCCAGTTACCGATCCAGTTTTAACCAATTACAATCTTTTAACCAGAACAATGCTGACCAGTATTTCTTGTCATCTCCCCGTCTGTCCGTTCTACCCACTTGTTGTCACTTGTCTTACATTTAAAACTGGAAGCTCTTTGGGGCAGGGACCTTCTTGCTCTGTGTTTGCACAGCACCTAGCAACATGGGGTCTTGGTGCATGCGTGGGAATCCTAGGCACCAGGATGATACAAATAAACAACAAAGTAACGTGACACTGGAAAGAGCCCATTGGCAGATTATGCTTATGTGGGGCCCTGGGCCAGAGCAAGTGGGGGCCCCTCCCCACTCCTTCTGCCTGCAGTCCCCCCTCTGCCTCCTCCCACACTCCTATCGGGGAGCAAGGTCGGGGCTTGGGGGCTTCCCCTGCTCCCTGGCAGTAGTGCTGGGTGGGTGGAGCTGGACAAGCCCCTGTGCCCAGATCCCGCTCCTGGCCAGGAGTGCCACGGGTAGAGCAGGTCAGCTGCAGGGGTGCCCATTTTTCAGGGCCCCCGGGCACGGGCCCTGTTGGTCCAGTGGCTAATCCACCTGCAGTTTGTTCTAGCCACCGTCTACAGCTGCAATTTAAAATTAAAGCTCCAAAAAGTGAAAAATTAGATTTAAGAGTAGAACTGCCAG